CCCAAATAATTCACCACAAATCAACAACATCAACAGCAACAACAAAACAACAACAACAACAAAAAAGTCCCCAACCCAACTAATAATAACAATATTCCCACTCTACCTGCCTATCATCCCCAGTTTGCCCCCCGGCGTGGAGGTGACGTTCTTCCTGCAGGTGTGCCAGGTGTGTGGAGAGTTCTACGGCACAGAGTACTCCAGCAATTGCGTCCACGACAAGACCTTCGTCACCTTCGCCAAGTGTTTCGTCGCCGTGCAGACCAAGAGATGAGCCGCGCCGCTCTGTCCAGACAAGTGACCAGTGGACGGCTCCCGGGCGACCAGGCGTCGCTTACGTCACGTTTTATACGTCATTGTCACTTGAAAAAATAAAAAAAAAACGTTCACCTAAACTGAGTTGATGGGATTTCTACGACAAAAGAGGTCTAAGAAAATCAAAATCAAACAAAAACAAAGGGGAAACGTTAAGATAATATGATGCCCTTCAAAAATAATTGTAAGTGAAGATAGACAATTTTAACAAAGTAATAATGTTATTATTGTATCGAAGGAAATGATAACTTTGGACGTTAACGTTGACCCATGGCAAGGGTCAAACTGGGGATCTTTGAACTACATGACTTAGTTTCTACTTTAAATAATAGAGAAAAAAGCAGCCCCCCCACCCTCCCCCACAAAACAACCCCACAACAAAACAACAAACAAACAAACAAACAAACAAACAAACCCAAAACAAAACAACTTTTGAACACCATAAGGAGCATGTTCAGTTGCATTTTAAGGACACTATGCGAAAATATGAATCAACTGCACAAGAATCAAGTATTGTAATGTCATCTGAATCTTTGAAAATCGGTTTTCTGATAATTTATAATTATTGTTTTTTTTCTCAGCATTTGTGCCCAACAATAACAGACTACAGTACTACTATGACTATTGGAAATAATAATATTGTTCTCATGACAAACATAATAAACATGAATAATCTGAAATCTTGTTCGTCTTTCTTTCTTTCTTTCTTTCTTTCTCTCTTTCTTTCTTTCTTTCTTTCTTTCTTTCTTTCTTTCTTTCTTTCTTTCTTTCTTTCTTTCTTCCTTTCTTTCTTTCTTTCTGTCATTCTGTCATTCTTTCTGTCTTTCTTTCTTTCCAGTCATTGTCCGTCTACTGCAGTATGCAGCCTTCCAACAATGACCTACAGTATGTTCTGTCGGCTGTTCTCTGTATCCTTATGTACCCATCCACTCTCTGATGTCAAACTTACCACCTTCTCTCTGATCTTCCCCCTGATCGTTTTTCTGTTCTTGATATCCACTCAGTACACCTTGTTGTTCACCTGTTATACCTCATTCTACCGTTGTGTCCAGAATTATTTTTGTTTGATATAAGCACTATTAATTTTTCCACCTCTGTAGGGCACGTCTGTGCCTCAACGCGGTGGAATCAGGCGCTCGTCAAATTTTGGGCATGTAGAGTTATTGGTATCACCTGAAAGCTTATTCCCTCGACTTGCTATTAATGAAAACAATTCCTATCCATCTTGAGTAGAAGTTGAGATATTTGCAATTGGTGGTGGTGGGGGTCGCTTGGCTTCAATCAGGGGTAAAATTAGAGAGAAAATGGGCGCCAAAGTCTCATGACTTCCATAGCTTGAGTGTCCTAGCAAACTGGAAATTTGCATTTTTGTTGTTGTTTTGATCAACGTTTTTCAGTATAATTCACAAAAGGTGTTGAACCAGAAAATACAAATTAGGAAACAATTCCCAATGGTCAGGAAAATGTAGGTTTGTTTTATTTATTTATTATGACGAGCGCTTGATTTCACCACCTTGCCTCAAATGTATGCTTGGCGTTCAGCCTACTCAAACTGGGAGGAGTCACATCTTTTGTTTGAGAGATGAAGAATGGGGACGGGGAAAGGGGGGGGGGGTCGGAATATATAATCATAGATGACTGTCTGTGGGTAGAAATGTGGCTGCAGTTCACCCGGGGAAAATTATTGTGAAAGGCACTGAACAAAAGTAAGAGGTGTACTGAGTGGAGATAAAAAAAACAACCGATAAATGATCATGGGGAAGACCAGAAAGAAGGTGGTAAGCTGACACCAGAGACCGGCCGGGTACAGTCGGATACAGAGAACAATCGGAAAAAATTATTATGATAGACACTGAATAAAAGTAAGAGATGACCAGGATAAAATCAGACCACCCTTTAAAACCCCCTAGGCTGTTGCCACAGTGGTATTTTTATTCCATGGTCCGACACGCACATAATAGCTTGTTCATTTTCGTCTGACTGCGTTTGAGTTTGAGTTTGAGTAAGGAGAAGCACATCGTGCGATAATGGTCATTGAGTGCTGGGGAAAAAGCAAGTCAGACAGACAGATAGACAGAAACAACAATGTGAAAGTGAAGAAATATGACCTACCAGTGGCGCTTCTCAACCATCCGCTAATTGACTGCGGTGAACTTAGAAAACCCCCCAAATTGTGCTGTTTAATCTCCACTGACTGGTCTTTGCATGCAGGTATAAAAGTTGAAAGAGGAACAGAATCTAAAAGTTCATTAATGAAGAAAAAGGTTCTGACATGTTTTGTTTGATGTTGGCCTAAAGTGGGTTAAAAAAGTAAGTGATTTACAACATACACCTAAAACATAAAAAGTTGTCCTATTTTCAACAACGACCACTTTATCGCACGCTTATATAACATTGTCCAACAGACAGGTGGTTACTTTTCGAGACTCAAGTGGAGACGTCTAGACGGTCTTGAGAGGAAATCTACGAGATATCACTTAGATGTGGGGGAAAGGTAGTGTCGTAGTCTCATAATGAGTAATTTGAATGCCAGATTGTAGTGGTCTTGCGTACACACAAAAAGGGCGATGTTTTGTAGAGTACACACATACGGAAACTTTTTAAGAACTTAGTTCAAGATTTTCGAAAAAGAATATTGTTGTTTTCTGGCACGCCTAGAGGGGTCTCATGCAACGTTTCATGCCCACTGGCAAATTAATAAATCAGCTAGAATTTTTGTTCAAGGCGGACAGACGAAAGTGAACACGTTATGGAGTACAAAAAACCCCCTGGTAGTACGGCCAAAAACTAGTTTTTGGTACAGCAGCGACTGCGAGTGTGCAAATGAGATATTTTTAGCCCGCTCGTTTCTCTCCATGTGACGTCACATTTAGCGGCCGTGCGGATAGTGGAACGTTTCCTAGCTTGCGTGGACCTTGAGGCAAAGCAAGGAATGCGAGAAGCGTCTGACCCTGAAATACGGAAATCATCCTGGAAATGAAATGAGCTCACGTCTGTAGGCGATGAATCGTGGTGAAATCAGACGCTAGTCCAAATGAAAATCGACATTTTCCCGCATGTTCGGCAATTTTTATAATTAAAAAAAACGATTTTTTTGAGGGGTTGGGGGGGGGGGGGGGCGTGGTTTTTTGACTCAACACCTTTTATGTCCCCTTAAATAACTGCATGGATTTTTACAACCCCCCCCCCAAAACAAACACATAAACAAAACATGTTGATTAAAAATAAAAAATACACTACAGCTTTAGAAGTCGCACAATTTGGAGGCCTTTTTCTGACACCACTTTCTTCAATCGCTGATATCTCGACCTCACTTCAAGATACAGGCTTACTTTTTTTCATCAAAAGAAAAGTGAATGAAACGGCTTTAAAAGTGTACCAATAACTTCATATGCTTCGAAATTGACGAGCGTCTGATTTCATCATATCATGACGCGAACAATGCGCTCACGTCTTTAGATTTTTACCTGAATTTACTCCTGGTAACTACAATGTCGAGATTGACAGGCGGAAGCACGCACAGCTAATACACTGTCCAGTCCGAGGTGGGCCGGGGG